CCCAGAGTGGTGATGAGCCATGAAGATGTGATTTCCTGGTGATTGGCTAATTTCCTGCGTACTGTATTCATATGTGTGAGACAGTGATGTAAAATAGGTGCTATGCCATCTGACTTGGTAGATTCGTAGAAAGCTGAAGATGCTATCAGAAGTGAGTGACATGGTGGGTGCCAGATCAAGAGGAGGATAAACAGCAGTGGAAGCAAGTTCCTTAGGATTGTCAAGATGCCTTCCTTGCTAGCTTGTTTCGTGTGTGGTGGGAAAGGGGAGAGTGATGATGTGCGGGTGCTCGATTACCGTCACTCTGCTCTCAGTGACGTGCCTGCAGATGTGTTTGCCTCAGAACGCACGTTGGAGGAGCTGCTCTTGGACTCAAATCAGGTATGTCCTTTAGGTGCCCTCTGTGTGTGTGTCTATGAAAATCAAAGAGCAGTGATGTTATTTTAAGTTTAAAAGTTTGCTCATTGAGAAACTGGTTTGGAGAGTTAGTAATATGCATGTATGGAAGACCCATTCTGGCCCCAAATAAGAACCTCAGTGCTAGAGCAATACTTGCAGATTATGTCATTGCTTTTGATTAGTTTACGAAACTCATGAGGCCTGGTAACATTTCCTTTTTGCAGTTGAAATAATTTGTTAGATGTTGCGGTACTTATTGTTGAGTAACCTCAGAGATTTAGCAGTTGGTAATTACCCATTTTTATGAGACATCTAGTGTAGATGTAGGTGTAAGAAATCCTTTGATAATTCATTTTTAGTCTGTATGCAATATATATCAGAAACTTACAGGTTTGAAATAAAGTGATGCACTCTGTTATCAATTTTGTAAATGGAGTAAAAAAGAGGAGGAAATATTCAGAAGAAAAAAATACTAACCATAGTCCCATTTTGTAATGTATGCTCCTATCTTTCCAGCTGACTGAGTTACCTCGTCAACTTTTCTACTGCCACGGCTTGAGGGAGCTTGGGCTAAGTGACAATGAGTTGACATCCCTTCCGCCAGCTGTGGCGTCCCTCATCAATTTAACTTCCATAGACCTCAGCAAAAATGGTAAGTGCATTATTGTAATTTTGTGTCAGTCCTCAGTTTTTCTGATGTGAAGGAGTATTGGGATTAGAATGAAGGTGGTGTTTGTATTGAGTTGGGCCAATTAATAAGAAAATTTGCTTCCAAAATAACACGATCAGAATAAGCATTTTTACTTTTCTAAAACACTAGACATGAAAAGCTTGTAGTTGTTTATTGCATTAAATCTTGTATATGTCATGTCAATATGAATAGTCTTCCAATGTGGAAATTTGCTTGAAGATCAGGAAAAGAATATCAGCATTTTTAAAATTGATTCTTATATTAGGGTCAGTCAGGTTAAGGAAGCTTGGGACTTTTATCACTTACTTTAATTAGTTACATTTTATGCCTGTGAGTGTAAGATGTGATTTTCTTATTTTTTTCTAGTTGCATATGAGTTGGTTGTGTCCAGAAGAATTGGTAAGCTATAATCACATACTGTTAACAACCTAAATGCTTCTTTTTTTCCTTATTCAGCTATATCAGACATCCCAGACAATATAAAAGGCTGCAAGCAACTTGCTGTGGTTGATGCTAGCATCAATCCCCTGTGTCGTCTACCAGAGGGTTTCACACAGCTGCTTTCTCTGCAAGAACTCTATCTAAATGACACTTTCTTGGTAGGTAGACTCTTGTCTGTGACTGCTTTAACTGTGACCTGCTCAGCTGGGTATTTTAGGTTACATCCATTAGTTACTCCTTTTCGATAATGCTGATGAGGGTGTGCATTGATTCTCAATAATGGGGGCTGTAAATTGCTCTTGAATATAATTTTGCTCCATCAGTTCAGAGCTGAGAGCCGAAAGTAAGTAAAGAGGTTTATTTGAGTGCTCATGTTATTGCATTATTTAGTATTTGACTTTACTGTTTCACAACTGAACTCAAATGGTATTCATCATCCTCCAGGAATATCTTCCTGCTAACTTTGGCCGATTGTCCAAGTTGAAGATTCTAGAGTTAAGGGAAAACCAGCTGAATACATTGCCAAAGTCCATCGCACGTCTCACCAACTTGCAGCGCTTGGACATCGGGCAGAATGACTTCTCTGAATTGGTGAGATTTTGAATTGTTTTCTGACTTATTATTTTGCTTTTGGTCATATAAAAACATTATTCATTGCATGGTGAATGGATTTTATGTAGATATTTAAGAATACAGATTGTATACCTTTGTAAATTATTAATATATTGCCTGTAAATAGTTTCTGATCAAAAACTCTAACAAACACGTCCATCTTTGTTTTCAGCCTGAGGTGATTGGAAGTCTTGGCAACTTGACTGAGCTCTTGTTTGACAATAACAAAGTGAAGTCGCTCCCACCCATGATGGGCAAATTGAAAAAACTACTTCATGTCGATGCCTCAAAGAATAAAATAGACTGGGTCTCTGGAGAAGTGGAAAACTGTTCTGGAAAACTACCTTCATGTCGATG